AAAAATGACCTGACTCCAGTTTTCCTCCACTGTCCACCCTAATTTGGATCGACACCACAAAACACGGTTTTGACGATTTGGTTTCGAGATTGTTGAATTTGTACATTATCATAAGACAATTCTGAAATATATTGATATGTATTTAATGCAGATTTAACAAAATTATTCAAAGAATCTCTGGTACAATGTGAATTCGTAAGTCTACACTTCATCTTGTATTTGAAAATTTTCAGTGCAATGAAAGAAAGTAATATATTCATGCCCATAACAAAATCTGAGTTTTCATAAAAGCCTATTACAACATGTTTCCAACTAATATTAAACCCGACAATTAAACTTAACATATATAACAGTTATATAAAAGATGCATAATATTTTCAAAATTTTTGTACAAATTATTGTTTAATAAATTATGCAATAACTTAAAGTTGAATTCTGCTATGTGTTTATCAGACATTCTTGAAATTTTCATACAGTAGATAGAAGCCCATAAATATTTGGGAATATTAAACAATTCACTCCAATAATTTTCTGTTAGTGGTCTTAAGAATTATTTCTCAATGAATATGTTATAGAAAACAGATGATTTTACATTACTTATAAAAACATATCTATTTCCTTTTAAGAGTATATACATATTATTTCTTATATTGATATAAGGCGCCTTTTCACATATATATATCTTTGAAAGTTTGTTAAATATTGTCTTCAGGATAAAATATTCACATAAGATATTGTTTTTGTATAAAACCTTATCACAGAAGTGTCTTATATCATAGAATGAGCCATTTACATCATACAAGTCTTTTGTTACAGAATTCCCGCTTTAATCCAATTTTCAAAATAAATTGGTTTATTTTTATACGTGAAGAGTTTATTTTTCCATATTGGCAAAGATAAAAACTCGTCAGTAGATAAATTTGTTAAATCTTTTGTAATTTTACATGCATTGAATGCACATATTGATTCTTTGTAGAATTAGGGGAGATATTTTATTTCTTTATAGTCATCTACATGTGTTAGATTAGTTTTTAAAATGTATTCTAGTGATAATGCCTCTTTATGAAATAAATGATTTAAAAAAGATGCAAGACTAGATTTTATATTTAGTAATCTTGAAATCCAAGATGCTTTGGATGCCTGAAATTTAGATTCAACATCAATAATGTCAATTCCGCCTTCTTTTTCCTTTCCTATAAGTGTGTTTCTTTTTATACGGTCTTTATTATTCCAAACAAAGTTAAAAATTAATCTACTTATTTGTTTAATAATTTTTTCAGGTGGATTAGGCAGAATAGTTGCATTATATTGTAGTTTTGAAATACATAATGTGTTAATTATCTCTTTTTTCCCAAAAATTGTCAACTTTCTCTTTTCCCATGAATCTAATGTTTTAGAAATTTTATCAATTTTATCTTGCCAATTTTTTTCTAAACATATTTCTTTGTTGTGTCCTATGTATATACCTAAAGTTTTTACTGGTCCATCTGTTACCTTTATATTATCTATTCTATTACATGAATTTTTTAAGGGCCCTAGTAACATACATTCCGATTTATCAATGTTCAGATTTGGCCCAGCTACTTTAGAAAATTTATTTATTACTTGAACAACATGTTTTACAGATTCTATGTCTTGAAGTGGATTCTTTGAATCGTCTGCATGTTGTAACATTTTGATCTCATTGTTATTATTTATTTTGAAACCCTGTATATCTTCCGAAGACTTAACACGTATAGCTAGTATTTCAACTGTAACTATAAATAATAAAGCGGATATTGGACAACCTTGTCGTATACCTCTAGTCATGTTACATGTTCTGGATATAAAACCGTTATTTTTAATTTAATTTAGAATCCAGGGACTTGCAGGAAACTCTTTTGCAACAAGAGGCCACAAATTATAATCTAGGACCGAAATATATTTCTCGGAGTTTATATTTCCTTCTACTTCAGTCAAAGTTCCAACACCATTAAAAGATAAACACCCCCAGAACATAGCCGATATGCCGGAGCGGGGCGAATGACTACTATATTGTCCAAGACAATCGGGTTGAAATCTTTCTCCAGGTTTTCTCCAGACGTAAATTTTTCTATCCTTTCCTAAAACAACTTTCATCTCATCACTAAAAATGACCTGACTCCAGTTTTCCTCCACTGTCCACCCTAATTTGGATCGACACCACAAAACACGGTTTTGACGATTTGGTTTCGAGATTGTTATTTTCTTTGAAACGGAGCATCTTTGATATTTCTGTTCTTTTAATCTCCTTCTTACAGTTCTATTAGACACTTTCTGTGGTACAGATTCATTAAATTTATCAGTTAAATCTGACAGAGTCTGTCGACGATTTTTCTTTACCAACCTTGACAAGACGCGATCACCTCTTTTGCCCACGAATCGTTTTCTTCCCGGTCTTTCTCTGTTTTCCACGGAACCCCTTTCAGCATTTCGTTTTACAATCTTCTGTATGGAATTTGGACTTATTCCGATAATTTCCGAAATTTTCCGGCTACTAAAACCACTCTCATTCAATTTAATTATCGTCTGCTTTTGCTCGAGTGAAAGGTCTTTCCCCCTCGGAGCCATTTTGATTTACGTATGTTATGGTACTAAAAATAAATCTACGGAACTTCCTATGTGTGTGACGTCAGATATGACGTTCATGTATGGATGTGTGTAGTTGTCATTATTTTTTATCATATTACAATCGATAAAATGAAGAGGAAAAACATTGTATGCTAATTTTAATTTTAACGGCGTCCATTTTGCGTACTGTATTATGGCCAGGTACTGTATGTCTAGTATCCTTATGTATTACTAGTAATCCGGAATTGTTGTTTATGTACGTGTTTGGTTTGTAGAGTATGTAAGTGTGTGCAATAAAATGATAAGAAGTCCGTGCATTGGAACATGTGGGTTGTTCTTTGAAACTAAGTGAAGTACTCATGTAGTACATGTAACTTGATTAAGCAAGATATCACAGTATGGTGAAACAGTACTTGTAAAATGGTTTCAACCCTGGATAGCAGAAACGTGGGTATTTCTGACTTTAAAGCAATGAATTTCTGAAATAAATAATTCGTGTCGTACGTCATTTCGTTGCTTTTTTCGAGAGCGAAAATAACAATATTTATTCCAAGAAGATGAATACGTCTAAGGTTACAAAATATCTGAATTTTATGCGAATAGCATTCTATTTCTTTTCTTATGAAGACAGATCTAAGAGACTTTCATGTTCATGTATATATGTAAGTAAGCAAAAACTTATATGATATTGTAAATTGTTAAGTGTAATAGTTATAATAATAAAATGTGTTATACACAACTCAGTTTCTAGAAACTATACACATGTACGTAAACACTTGATTTATCACAATTATCTTCATGTTACTTTTGAACTATAAAGAATCAACAAGTATTCTGAGTATTACATCAACAATAGTAATTACCCTACTAGCAAGTGTAATCTGTTTCCTTTAAAAATTATAAAGGTCGTAATTTCCTTTCAAATCTTTGAGGCAGAACATGATATAAACTTTATTTTGAAACTCATCAAGACAGATTAACGGTAAAAAAAAGCCCCAGCTCAATATCGGCAAGCGTTTAGACAAACAGTTCCGAAAAGCAAGTTGGAAATCTTCCCCTTAAAAATTGAAAAATGCTGTAATACGTCAAAAATCATCCAAGTGCAATGAAATGCATTTTTGATCTGTTAGTCATCAAAGTACACTCCCATACCAAAAATCAACTCAATATCTACAATCGTTTAGAAAAAAGTGTTGATGTTACATGTATCAAGTGGGACAGACTGACAGACAAACAAGGAGGAAACCTAAAGCGCCCCCCCCCCCCGCTTTCACCGGAAAGGAACTGAAAACTATAAACACTACCAGTTCTAAGGAGACTGCTTCAAATTATAATAATATTACAAACATATGTTAGTGCCGTCGAATACATGTGTGATAAAGTGTCATTCTTTTCTTTTTGAAGCCTCTTACAAGCTGCATCCTGCTAAAAAACAATTACACATTTTTTCTTAATTGTTTACAATTCACTTCTATAATTCTGTATTTATTCACACTGTTCTGAGTCCTACATAAAAACAATCTATCAAAACATGTAAATCATGTGAAAACACATCATTTGAAATTTTGAAAAAAATTATATCTTAAACTCCGACATTTACTAACAAATGAAATTGATTCTACATGTATTATCTTGTAATTTATCAACAACTTATATTATGACTTATTAAGTACATGTACATGTATAAACATTTTTTGCTCTTATTTATATGCACGTACATTTTTATAGTGCAAAAAGTTCACAGGTATACTCAACCATATGAATTATTCAATGTTGGACCATGTACATGTAGCTCTTATTATTCATGTGTCCTGCTTTTATAGGCATAATAAAGGCATACTACAAGGCTGTTCTGTAAAACCTTTATTTTCTTTATTTCTATTTCACACCCAGGAAATAAAACCCAATAAAAGAACGGTGTCTGGAAACTAAAACATTAAAAAGAAAGCTAGCTAAGTACAGATAGAGCGATTGTCCATGTTTGCACGTTGCTAAATTTCCATAAACCTATTTACTTTGATATTTGTACATAAAGAGAATCGGTAAATGTTTAAAATATCCAAGAGTTTGTTTTCATTATTAGAAAATGGGTTTTGGTTTAGTCCAAGCCAGATACTGTGACAAAGAAATAAGATCAATAAATAACATTTAGAAAAGGAAAGCAATATGTTTAAAGCAAAGATTTATACCAATAAACTCACGCTAGCTTTATACCCTGAAATCAATTCCATTGATTTACTCTAATGGTTAGTTAATACTTGACGTTTTAATTTTTATAAGGTTGTTTTAACCTTCACCGAATGGATAAAATGCTTCGAAATAATTGCAAACTCTACATAGGTCTTTCTGTCCGGTGTTTCATCGTTTTATAGCTTATGATGTTTGTAGGATTAGTAGACAGACATTTTATAATGTGGTTATGCTTGAACAATTTGATAGCTAAAAGTTTGGAAACTACAAATACCTGTTTTAATCCAAATGTAAATTACAAGACTGGTAAAAAACTTGGTGTATCTCGCATTAAACGTTTTCGAGATATAGGACCAAACTCATGCTACATGGAATGCCATAGACACGGTAATTGTCTCTCATTAAATTATAATTGGAGGCAACTTATCTGCAATTTACTAAGACAAAAGCCGACAGAGGGCATGCTCCTGGAAGACGATGAGGATTTTATCTATATGGAAATTCCTGGTATTGTAAGTATAAACAAGATAAACACGAATATATATATATATATATATATATATATATATATATATATATATATATATATATATATATATATATATATATATATATATATATATATATATATATATATATATATATATATATATATATATATATATATATATATATATATATATATATATATATATATATATATAGATATATATATATATATATTCATTCTTATATATGTTTATTAATACATTTTTAAAGCAAAGTGAAAGGCTCTATGAAACACTTTTTAAATAAGCAGCACTAATTACACAAAGTGTGCATTATAATTATATTTGAAATCATATCAAACCTGGGAATGAAAACATTGCTCCCAGATACTGACTTAGATGAATTGTAACAATTACATTACTGTCTTTCAAAAATCCTGTTCGTATGAAAATCCCCTGTCACAGCATTTCCACAGCCACCTACAGCATATCCACAACATGCCACGGTATGTCTCCTCTGTGTCTAGAGTAATTCTCAGTAGGTCATTGTATACAAGTATATCCCCAGCACAGTGCAGTTATATACCGTAGTCCCCATTATTCCTTCTGTTATCCCAAGTATGCCATAGTATTTGCCCAGTATGCCCCTTTATTATAGGTGAAATTGGGGAAATACACTATGTTGCAGGGCATAAAACAGAGTTTTTACAGTAAATGGTATTCATAGTTAAAACTAAAATAATTCGTAAGAATAATTCATGGATTTTTTTTTCATATTTCTAGATTAAACATTATTAAAACTGTTATAATTTGCAAATGAGTACCATGTATGTGTATTTACAATAAAATTAATGTTCATAGGATAAATAGGATCACTTAGCAGTTCATACATTAATATGTGAAATAAATAATAATTGATGAATGAATAGATAAAAATATTTATTAAATTATAAAATATAAATGAATAAATAAAGAAACTCTAACAAATTCCAGTCCAAAGAGAATGGATGGTTGATTACCAGATTGCGGGTCTGTTGTGTATAAAGGACATGGTCAGATGCGTTTAGAAAGACTGCATTTTATGTACAATTGCCAATGCTAATTCCTTTTAATAAAATAACTCATTTATGGAATTTCTCATTCTCTGACATTTCTATGTACTGTCACAAACCAAACTCACAGTTATTGTTATATCGCAGCATTTCAATAAACCGCCTTCATTCTCCATTTTAATAAACGACAAAACACTTATGTATGTTGCACTTTGCCACTTATGTGACTTTAAGTATTGAAATAATTGTGATTAATTACGTAATAATTGATAAAGAAATCCATAAAATTATTAATTTGCTACTATCATCTGTCTAAAAAAATCATGACAAAATGAAGCCGAAATGTGAATATGATTGATAAGTAAGCATTGATTTATACATGATATATGGTGTAAATTATTACATAATATATAAAAACATTCTTCTTGTGGTCTGAAACCGCAAACTACCTAAAACAAATTCAAACGAAGAAAAGAAAACACAGACAAAATTGGACTACATCAAAAAAGGCAAAGGTGGAGGGGTGGAGGCAGCTTATGATAATTTGAAGCTATCCAACACACATGTACTTTCCAAGGCGTCCTTAAAGAAACTGAAAAGCGACGTTATCTGAACGACCATGTCTAGATTTTTCCCTCGCACGATTTCCATTGGGTGTTTACCAAATGTTTTCATGTCCAAGAATCACTTACATTTGCCTCTCCTAATTTGGCAACGCCAAAAAATTCCAAGGATAATGCAAGTGCGATAACTCTTTCTATACGCAGTGAATTCCAATGTACATAAAATATTTTAAGTAAACTTAAAATTCATTTATGAACAATTGCCAGTGCGAATTCCTTTTAATAAAATAACTCAGTTATGGAATTTCTCATTCTCTAACATTTCTGTGTACTGTCACGAACCAAACTCAAGTTATTGTTATATCGCAGCATTTCAATAAACCGCCTTCACTCTCCATTTTAATAAACGACAAAACACTTAGGTATGTTGCACTTTGCCACTAATGTGACTTTAATTAGATGCGTTTAGAAAAGCTGCATTTTATTTCTGGAATATCTTTAAACTTAGTCGTATCAGATATTATATATATGTTTTTTTATATCGTGCAAAAATTTTGAGGTTCTTTATTGAACTGCAGACTTTGTGTATTAAAATTTAAAAAAAAATGATTAAATCATATATTTATCTAAATGGCAAGCTTTGCACAGAAAACATAATTAAGTGTAAAAAGTAAAACGCGTTTTTAACGGCATAACGTAAACTATATTGTATCAAGTTTCCCGAATATAACTGACAAATATTAGTAATGCAAGCATTGTGCTTTACAAGGAAAACACTATTAGACTTTTACATAGTCAGTGCTTTGGATAGAAAGTCGGTGTTTTGACGGCAGATACTTGAAGTTCAAGCATAGTTGATCCTTTTAATCATGAAAAACTATTGCATTTCATTACTAAGTCTGTTTAAAAATGTGGCTTAAATAAATGTTTTATTTAGATCCTGTTCAAATGTTACGTCCATCTCCCCTTGATTGAAAGAGTGAGTCAACTTATTCACCAAGCTAAAACACTAACATAAGAGATGTTCTAAAAGTGCCGGAAAAGTAATTCCAGACACACAGAAATTAAAAAATGCCAGAAATCTAAGCATAATGAAATGAGGCAGTTTATAAATTCTGTTAATAACTCAAGATTACGTGACATATATTTTGAAATGCCAAAGTGAATCCGATTAATTAATTAATTAATTTTTGTGTAAACCAAACTTAAAAAAAATGAACGGACAGGCAGTTATCACTTTGCTCTCTTAATTTGCAGATTCTTTCTAGGTTAATGCAAATCGAAATGCTCAGATATTTGAAGAAAAAGTTTCTGATAAAAATATTTCTTGTCGCTATTTATCTATTCACCACAGAACTAACAATTAATTCATAAGAATATTTGTATACAAATGTGCAGGTGCCTTTCCATCCCACCATAGAAAGAGTCTTCATAAAGCATCTTCGAATACGTGTTACATTCAAGTTTAATTTTGTAATTTACACATTTAAACCATGCATTCATGAATCTTATTGGAAAGTGAACAATGATGTTAAATATAAATTTGAAAAAAAAGTCACTCTCTATTTTGCACTAAACGTTGTCTTTACAAGGCTGAGAAGCTGTACACAAAACCATCACAAAAGACTTTTATTGCATGTTCATACCGGTTTCAAATTTTCACTTACGTTTAACTCTCATCATTATTTTGATTATGTTAAGATCAAATAAGGAGATAACGAACAGTGATCAAGCTCAAAAGTCAAAAGTCCATAGAAAAAAATATAAATCAGGAGCAGTGCAAACATGGACCTCTAAAACGGTAGAGGCAGGATCCGGTGCCATGAAGGAATAAGCATCCTCTGCTGACCGGTCACAATTAACTTGATTTTTTTTCATCGACATCCTACTGCATGTTATATACAGAAATATGTCTGTTGTTACATTGTTGCTATACAATAATCATTATACTACAATCCTAAATACTTGGGGGCGGTGGGGGGGGGGGGCTTTCAAACGTTTTTTTTGCAGTGTGTTCAAACTCTGTCTGGTTGTTGCATTTCAAATATTCAACATTTTATTTGATTGACAATTATCCCCCCTCCCCCCCCCCCCGAAAAAAGTTTCTTTTAGATAGCTATATTTTATTGATACGACAATTTCAAAATAAGGAAATAAAGAAATAAATGAATAGATAAATAAATTATAGTAAACATATACCTGTCTGCAGTAATATGCACAGTAGCTTTTGAAATTATTATCGTCGCAAAACTCACAAGCAGATGAGAGTGATAATCGATTTGATTCACCCGAAGGTTACAGACGATGGAAATATTGACATGATAAAAAAAATTCAGAATGCATTGAGTACACATAAGCTGACTTAAGAAACTCAATGGAACACAAAAATTGGTCATTGTTCATTACGTATAACGTAATCAATATCATATTTCAACCTTAACCTGCGATCAGGTTCCAGGCCACATAATTAAGATGAGCTCATTTTTCCACAATAAACTCATTTTGTAAAAGTGAGACTGAGATTAAAAGTGAGGTTGTCTAAGTTTTTTTGGCCAGGATACAAAACAATGACACATAATTAAGTAAATACCCATACCCTCAGTTCCTTTCAACACATACTACATGTTCTTTTTACTTAAAAAATACAATTGCAGCCATATGTAAGACTAAGAATCCAGTTTTAAAATTCATAGTAAAAATACTTTGATTTCTTATTATAAAATCTTTGATTTATTTAAGGAAAAAATTATGATACTATAGAAAACTTTAGTTAACTTAATTTTTTGTAAGCGAAACCTTCTTTATACTTTAAACCTCCCCATCTGTGTTATGGCATTTAAATTCAACAATAAAAACGTTATAAGAAAAATACATATCGAATGTAAATATATAAATTAAAGAGCCTTTCGCCCCCCCTCCCCCCCCTCAAAAAAAAAAAAAAAAAAAAAAAAAAAAAAAAAAAATACAGGTTTTAAATCTTTTTTTTAAGTCTATATTTTTCAACATTGATGTTGTTGACAAAGTCTCAGTACAATTAAAACATGGTGTAAATTAACACATGACAATTATATTTCTTTCTTTTACACAACTAAATACTATATTATGTCGGAATAGCAATGAATTATATAAAAGAGTTTAAAAAATTGAAAAACAAAAAGCTTCGGAAAGACGACAAACTTTTGTCACGCTAGATTACTTGTTTAAATTAATTCTAATTTATTTTAAAGTTTTACTTTGCACTACATATGTAGACTTTTCGATGTAAATATTTTGTGACTTTTTCATTAATTGCTTTTTCAGAGTACAAGCATTGTAATTAAAATATAATCATTTTAATAGTTAAAAATAAAAAAAAAATATATACCACTTCTGGTTGTGTAGACAGATCAAAGCGAGAAGAAATGTGGTGAAGTTACTTGCAACTACTATTCAACTTGTATACATACATTATACAGCAGTGTATGCATTGAAACAGGTATGTGATGAAATGATATAAACGGTGATTATTTCTAATTTTTTCTGATATTTAAAGCTTTTCGTATTTTTAAGCAAAACATAGATTTTATAGTATTTCGTATCTTTAAGCAAAAGTGGATTTTATAGTTTTATAATGAATGTCGAAATCATTCTTAAGAGTTAATGCTAACACCTCTTCCCTTTTTGGCCTAGACACTTGAATGTGCTTTATTCCTTTAAACATCTTCATTTCTAAACATCATGATGAATATAAAAAACATAATGAAAGACATTTCCACTGCATTTCCAGTAGAAAAGAAAATCACGTTTTGACTTAAATTTCATAATTCAACTTTACTATAAACTATTACCAGAAATTACTGTAATGTGTGCGTGTGTGTCAATGTGCAATGACTAAAATGGCATTGGTGTAATGAACCTTTTTTCTATTTTACCCAAATCATCCTTATGCAGCCGTTTATAACAAAATACTCGACAAATTTTTGAATCAGTTTGGAATCTATTTACTATTTAAAGGTCGTTCTTCTCAAAATATTTTAAGCCTTCCTCTTTAATTTTCATTCAAGATCTGAAAAAGACATCAATGCGCTCGGCAATCTTTAGAATACACCAATGTATTTTGTTTCAAATAAATTAACCTCACCATTTGATATTGAAAACAGTTAAGTGTAACACCAAATAGCAAGTCTCTCCAAACAGATTTTATTATGACTCTCGGAATTGATCATGATACTCTTTTGCAACATACATATGCAACATACACCGATATTATTAAAGTGTACATGTTTCTATTAATGATCACGTTTACTGTGACGTCATATTGTTATCACAGACTCTGTATAGTCAGAATATATGGATGTTTCCCTTCTTCTATAGTGGCCCCGCCGTACCTATCTGAATATGATTTAAACAAAGTTTGATAGGATTCACCTTTATCTACTCCAGTGATTCTTGAGAGGAAGCTTTTCAAATGTCCCAATCCTATTTATTCTTGATCTTCTCATCAGGCATTGTGGAAAAAATAGCTTAAAAAAAAAATCGGCCGAAAGGTTCTGTAGATAGGTTCTCGAAAATGTTTAAAGATATGAAACGGATTTTCAGGCGACATACAACCTATTTTCAGAAAAGCTCACTTAAATCTTATGGGCTTCAAAAATACCATCATAATCATGAACATATCTTTGTAACGAGTGCATTAATTTAAAGCATGAACTTTAGGCAAAAAGTTAAGTGCTCTCAATATCCATTGCAATATAATGCATTTTTATATAAATACGATTCATATGTTTAATTTAATAGGAAATATGTTTTAGATCAAAACACTTTTCTTTCAATAATGTTTGAGAGATATTTCTTTCACTATTTTTATACATGTAAAAGAAAAATATTGGAAGCAACCAATATAAGTTAGTTTTATTAACATTTTATCTTATAATCTGAAATTTGATAATTTGAAAGCCATTATTCTAATACCAAGGTGTAATTGTTCATATTTACTTTCGTTGTCTTATTTTGATTAAACCAACTATGAAATTGATTTAAATGACATTTGTGTGTATATTCATGAGTAGAAGTATACACGGAGAAACTCATGCTCAAGTAACGTCATAACGAGGGTACGTAGACGTTAATGAAAATATAACTGTGAAGGACATCGATGAATTTAAACCTTGAGTGTATTTTTGGTGTCTTTATACATATAGGCATAATTTTCATGGAAGTGTTATTCGCGCTACATGTAGTATTCCTGCGTGAATAGTCTGTAAAACAAACAACTCACTCAAAACTAAAACATTTCTTATGTGTTTGTTTCATATTTCTTTGAATCGCTTTTTATGGGATCTTATTTGAACACAATCATTTTTATTATATCTATTCAGTTTTCTAGGCGTAAATGCCTTTCAAAAAAAAAAAAAAAAAAAAAAAAAATAAAAAAAAAAAAAAAAAATAAAAATAAAAATAAGGAACTCATAGAAGTCATTGTAATATATATATTTGTTTTTACAATATTTTGTCTAGAATGTACAGAGCGAATTCCAGACTTGAAGAATGGAAAACTAGTGACGCGTTTACGTTCTCCTCATACAGCTATATTTGGATGTAACCCCGGTTACACAGCTGTGGGTTCTGTAAATACCATTTACTGCGCACCGGGAGGAAAATGGGGATCCTTATCTTATAGCTGTATGGAACCAAGTAAGTATATGACTGTTTATTTAGGGGGATTAGAAGTTATTCTTTACATCGAGTAAAGCTTTTTATCGAAAATCTAAGAAAGCGAAAATTTATCTGAATTTTTCGGTACTCTTTTATTTCATCTGGATTTTCAAAAAAGTACCTCCATTTCAATAAAATTAACATTGAATCAATTCACTTCTGATCATCTAAAATCTCTTAGAAAGACAAAATAGGGGAAAAAAAATTGAAGTTTTCCATTTGATTTAGTCCATGGAAGTTATAGTCCATGGGGAGGCTGGACATCGTGTACAAAATCTTGTGACACTGGGTCCTACACCAGGAGCAGAGCATGTAACAACCCAGCACCAAAGTACGGAGGGAATAACTGTCAGGGGAATTCAACAGAAACTACGGACTGTAACATACAAAATTGCCCAAGTAAGCTATACATTACACTAGCCCTATATCAATGTAGGATAATCAGTTAACTTCAAATATGACATTGTGTTTATGGGGGTATTAGAAGTATTATCTTACATCGAGGTTTATGTTTTTTAGAGGTTGTCTAATTCTATACTGAAACGCAAAAGAAACGCAACAAGCAGTAATCTACAAATATTTGAACCTTTTAACTAATGACTTTCAAAACTGATTACAGTTAAGTTAAACTCGATTTAAAAGCGTCAAAGATTTGATAACAATGTTAAATGATTACCTTTTAACTTTAGAAAGTAACACATGACTGTTAAAACACCCCCCCCCCCTTCTCAGCCATTCAATTATAGCGTGGAAGACTGCCATGCACAACAATTGCAGCTTGATTTCCACGATGCAATAAGTTCATCAATCTCGGGATCTGAGCGAAAAAAATATTCTTTGCCATTTTTAAATGTCCGTTTTTCAGATAATGAAGTCGAATTTTCTCTAACCTAGCGCAGTGTAGTAACACTTGGACTTCCGGTCCACGGACTATCATTCATGCTAATGATACGCATGAGCCTGTTGAGGCGTGTTGTCGTGCATTTTTGCATCTGCAATTCTCCATCACCTTTATTTTCAGATTTTCCAGCTAGAGCACTTGAAATGCGTACTTAAGTCATTTTCAGGAAGCCTTGGCATCTCTTCCGGAAACGAAAGGAGAATTTATTTTGCGAAATATTGCTGAATTACTTGTGTTAAACAGATACAAACCTTTAAAAACCCCATATTTTTGTCAAATGTTTTGTTAAATATGCAATTTTTGATTTCTGTTCAGCGGGCTCAAACTTAACTTCCGGTTATGGCATGAAAATCATTCAACCGTTAAATTATCGAAACTTACAATGTTGAAGATATCCGTACTTTTTAGAAAAAAAATTATATCCTTTATATGATTTTCCCCTCTAAAATAGGATGTTGCGTTTCTTTTGCGTGTCAGTATATAAATAGCTTACTACTAATTTAATCTGACATTGTAGCAAAGATCTAAAATTGTGGTAAGCCATATTTTCATATTCAACATAAAAACAGGAAAGTGGTCAATGTATTTTAAGAAATATAAGGAGGCTGGGGGGTCAACAAATTAACCAACAGATATAACTTAATTTTTTAGATATGATATCATAAGCTGTCAACTATCATTTGACAAACAAAAATTTCATACATTTTAGTTTTAAAATTTGATCATTTTTGTATATCTTTATATGGAGCTCTTCTTCTAAAGGAAATCAATATAGTCTGAAAATGGCCACAACCACATAGCCCTCTTAAAGCAGATTACAAGAAGAAATACTAAGAAGTAACCACTGCCTTTTTTTGGTGTAAATTGCTTTGCATTTCTAAATTAATATAATATAGGAGACTCTAAATGATTTAAATGTAGAATTAGAGTATGCACAGTGCAGGACGATTAAAACTCATTTTGTTCCGTGGAAATCGCATAACAATAGCTTGTTTAAGGGCATTGAGGTACCCAAAGTGCTGAATTGGCAAATATTCATCTTTATCTAATTTTTTCTTAATATAAAAGATAAGCAAAATTGCCATTCATGTATTTATTAGAGGTATTTTTTGTTAATTTTCCAAGAAATACAATATTTCCGAATACATCAAAGGCTTTGAATACTCCTGCTCAATTTGAATCAAGAGGAATTGTGACCTTTGAAGGAACATGTTCTATTATTTCTTTCTAAAAAAAAGAATTTTTCGATAAAGCTTTATATCAAAAATCTAAAAAAAAAAAAAAAAAAAAAAAAAAAAAAAAAAAAAAAAAAGCGGAAATTTATCTAAATTTTCCGTACTCTCTTGTTTCAACCGGATTTTAAAGAAGTACCTTCATTACAATTGAATTAAAATTGAACCAATTCAGTTCTGACTGTATTTTCTATCTAATATCTCTTAGAAAGAATAAAAACAAATGAAGTTTTCCATTTTATTCAGTTCATGGAGGTTATAGTGCTTGGGGAGGCTGGACATCGTGTACAAAATCCTGTGACACTGGGTCACGCACTAGGAGCAGATCATGTAACAACCCAGCACCAATGAACGGAGGGAACAACTGTCAGGGGAAATCAACAGAAACTGCGGACTGCAACATTCAAGATTGCTCGGGCTCGGGTAAGCTATAAGCTATTCATTACACTTAGCCCCATATCTATGTAGGGCGATCTAGTATACATCAAATAAGGCATCGTGTGACGATTGGTTAATAGAAGTCATTCAATCAAATACCTACAATTAAAGAACAAAATGCTTTGAATTCTTTGTTGTTAATACGGGAATTAATGTTGCAGAAAAATGCAAAACCAGTGTCAACGAATCATGTAATTTTTTCTGCAATAGCCGCAACATTAATTCTCTTACTAACAAACAAAGACATTTAACTGTTTATACTTATATCTTGTCAAATAATAACTTAAAGTCGTATTTAGTAGATGAAATAGTGAATTAATGATATGTACCTCATTGTACGTTTCATTGATGAAATAGCCACTGCTCCAGAAATCTGTAGAGGTGATAGGCTAAGTGGTGTTTATTGACTTATAGTTTCTTATAAAATAAAAAGAGATACTAGTAATATTCAGTGGATGTAAATATATATAATTTAAACAAACTTTTGGCCTAACGTGAATTTGAGATAAGAATTAAATTAATATTCCTTTATTATCCAAAGAAATAATGACACCTTGGTCAACACAAGTATCGACCTACAGTATACGATAATGTCGATATTTTGAACAAAGATGATAAATTGGTTCAATTCCGAATTTCTGAAAAAAAAAAGACTTCTGAAATTGTGGACCACTGTTTTGATTTTACCATAGCGCAAAGCAAGAACAAATATTTCATGTTTGAAACATTTACGAATTAGATTATTTTTGTATTGTGAAGAATTCTTAAGGTGAAAGCATTGCAAGTCAGTACATTCAAAGCCGTCGATGTACTTTTCTATTCATGACTTCATGACGTCAGCTCTCCTAAATAATCATTCCTATATACTTAATAATCTCCTCCTGTTCATACAGAAACATAAATCTAAGTGATATTTATAATTATTGTTTATTTGGTTTATATTTCCTTTAAAATTTAAGTGACTTTTTTATATTATGATGCATGAGAGAGAGAGAGAGAGAGAGAGAGAGAGAGAGAGAGAGAGAGGGGATCAGGGTACATATTGAGTGTTTTTGCCCTTTTTATAGCATGATTCATATTCTTTACTGGATTTTTGAGATTGTTCACAGTTCATTTTTTTAACATTCAAAGGAAATGGTGACTAAAACCAAAAGGGCCTAAATTAACGATTCCTACAATTACATGTATATCAAAACCTGGTCCTGGGGCAATTAAACCTAAATGAGCTAACTTTTGATCTCTGTTTCACTTTTACGAAATAATTATGCATAAGGAAAAAGTGAGACTGAGATCAAAATTGAGCTCATCTAAGTTTTATGTTATTCCCAAGAAGGGTACCGCAAAGTGGAGAATCCCCTCAAAAAGAGGATATCTTTAAATCAAGAGAGCATTCGACATCGATATCGATACAAATGACGTCACTTTTGTTTCGCACAGGATATAACACACTCATAAACAAACATACACACACACAATTGTCTTACTACATGTATGTCCCCTCCATCTCCGTTGCCAGGGGATAATAAAACGTGCCATGTGTAAATTCTACAAAACATTAATGCATTTTGTTTTCTGTATTTTCTAGGATGGTGGGGTGGAAGGAGAAAATGAAATGCTTTTGATGACCTCGTGTAAAATCTTCCTGGTTAGGATGCTGAGGTTTTTCATTTTACAACAGAATCTATAGAAGTCGTTCTCCTAACATGGCCAAACTAAAAAAGATCAATAGCATGCAATTATGATATGTTTTGAACCAAATGCGTACATTGAATTCATAACAACACAAATTGCAAGGATGTGTAGTAACGTAGTATCGGATGATTCCTTGGTCATTATCTAGAACAAAAGAATATATCTGTTGGTTTGCTTTTTTTTTTTAAAAAAATAAATATAGACACAAATCGTCTGTGTTAGTGCACCAAAATGAGACAAATGGGCACCTTAAGCTTTTGCTCTTGCACTTGCTTTTGAACAGAAGTTGTGCTTGTCTGTCAAATTTTTACTCACCTTCGGATTAGGTTCTACTCATGACACTTACATCTTTGCATCATTAAGTGGCAATCAACTTATCACAGGATGTTGGAAAATGTACCCGAAGATCCAAGAGAATCTGCGGAAATCATGGTATTTTTTTTGTCATTAATTATTTTTCTGTCATGTTGTGCTAGAATTCATGGGGCACCTGATTGGTTTCACAAAACACATACATCTAAAAAAAATTGCTTCCTGTAGTTTAAAAAAAGTTTTGTGTCGGACCATTTTTAGCCAGTCGGTCGAGAGAAGGCAACCAAACATTTTTTTAAAGATGGCCATAGGTTTAAAATAATGTCACATGTATTACTTTTGAATTGATATGCTATTATTAGTATCAGCTGTTCTATTTTGCGTGTTTCGTGTGTTATATGTGACGTCACTTGAGGAATGTTCGTGGGAGATCGGAAGGAAAAGCAAGCGTCTGTTAGGAGGATGCAAAATCAGCAGAGGGGGACAGGTACTGAAAGTATACGAACTTTGTGATCTGGTCATAACATGTAAGTGCTTGTAGGATTTTCGTGCAACTGTGATCGTCTGACGCGTGTAAGCAGATTTACTGTGGGTCTAGGACTGAATTGAAGACTCTCAGCTGAGTAGAATTTGTTTGTATTGTTTTATTCGTAATTGTTTTTTGTGATAAAACCTGAAGGTATCGAATAGTAGTCAATCTACAAAAATCAATAATAATAATAATAATAATAAAAAAAAACTAGAAGGAGTGAGCATCCTCTGTGGACCGCTAACACCCGTCGTAAGCCGTTTGTATTGATCAAGAAGACGTAGATATCTTTAGACAAATTTAGCATAAAACAATAGCCTTACAATAAGTATAAAACACGTCAGACATAATACAAATGAACTAATGGTTGTATAATCAAGCAAATAAGTTATAGATATGCTGGAAATAATTTGAGCAGAGAAGTTTATCATACAAATTGAAATAAAATTCTCAGGTGCCATAGTCAATGATTGATTGATTGTTATTGTTTAACGCCGAGTCGGAAATATTTCAGCCATATTTCGGCGCCATAGTCAATGGAGCGTGACTAATCCTATCGGTGTTATACTGAGAATATATCAAGCCATGTGTTTGTATACAAACATTACTTAGGGTTTATACATATAACCCAAGTTTCGAAGGTGTGAAAAAATATACATAAATATTATGTCTGCATAAACATGATCTGCAAATTATCATGGGTTGATACATGTACCTAAGTCGATATAAATTGGACTTATTTCATTGTACATGCATTTTATTTTCACCAGCGTAATTTCTGGATGAATGATAAAATTTGCACATATTTCTGTATAAAACGACATGTATGGTGACGGTACTGTTAAAATGATTTAAGTCCGGATGAAAGAAAGGTGTATATATCTGACTTTGAAATAATGAATTTCTAAAATAAATAATTCGTGATGTATTTCATTTCGTTGTTTCTTCCTAAACACGAAAATAACGGAATTTAATCTTAGACGAGCACAAACAGGTTTATTAGTAACACATTATCTGACATTATTTCGAATTGAATTTTATTTCTTTTCTTATGAAGACGGAACTAAGTATTATCTTTCATTTCCTTTCATTTGTGAAGTGATTGTGCAAGATTTGCATGTTCATGTGTATGTATAAGTAAGTGCAAAGTTTAACGTAGATGCTATTGCATATATCAGTAAGTTAAATAGTTATTATAGTAAAATGTATTATACACAATTCAATTTCTAGAAACTATAAAATGTATGTAAACACCTGAGTTATCATAACTTTCATATAGTCTGAACTTCAACTATAAAGAATAAACAAGTATTCTGAGAATATTGCATAAACAATAAAATACTATTCCTCCTACCGGCAAGTGTAATTTGTTCCTCCTAAAACTTAAAAAGGCCGAAATTGCATCAAAATCTTTTAATCTTTGAAGTGGAACAAAAATGTAAACCTTTTTTTTGTCCTTCTAAATCTGTTCAAGGTAGACTAATATTGAAAACTAAGCTCAACATCTGCGAGCGTTTAATGCGAAAAAGCAAGTGGGAAATATGTCATACCGTCAACAATCATCGAAACAGAATGAAATGCGTCTTTGATTTGTAACTCATTAAAGTGCACTCACATACCAATTGAATCAATTTAGTATCTGCAAGCATTTAAAAAAAGTGCGGAAAATCAAGTGGGACGGACTGACAGAGGGGTAGCTTGACGAATAGTCAGATGAATAGACGAGGGGGAACATAAAGTCCCCTCCCATTTCACCGGTAGGGAACCAAAAAACCATAAACACTACCAGTTCTAAGGAGACTGCTTCAAATTATATAACAAACATATTTTTGTATAGTCTATTAACGATTTTTATTATGATTATGAAATATAATTATTTTTTGCTCTATTTTATATGCACGCACATATTTTATACTATGAATTAAAGTAAACAGGCATGGGCAACATTCAATTTCGGACCGCGTAAATCTTTCATTCATGTGTACTGTTTTATTTTTATAGACATAATACAAGGTTGTTCTTTAAAATATTGTCTTTAATTTCATTTCACACTCTGAAAAAAATAATAAAAGAATGCTGTTTGGAAAAAAAAAACATTAAATAGAAAGTTAGTAAAGTACTTACAGAAAGTTTGCTCATCGTTTCAAGTTATAAACGAAGGCAAACTTTAACATAATGTTTGTTTGCCCTCTCCCGACTCAGGATGAAAATATTGGGTCAGTAGGTGGGTGAGAAATAGTTTTTATTTAGATAATTTAAATTTAAATTTCAATGATAAATTTTTAAAATCTATTTTCCAGAATACATAAAAAATGCTTTCTGGAGATTAAAGAAGTGAAATCGGCCCATTTCTTTACCAGTCAGTCGGGAGAAGGCAAACAAACATTTTTTTAAAAAAAAAAAAAAGAAAGAAAAGATTACCCTATTTACATTGATATTTTGTACATAATGAGAATCGGAAAA